AAGGCCAATGAAGAGACTGATCCCATTATGCCTAGCATAAAATTTTAAGGAAACAGATATTCCCTGTCAGTCTAAGGGGAAGTGTTTTGTGTCATGTTCTCAGTTGTTACACATAACAAAAATATGGGTATCTGTGTTACTGCAATACCAAACTTGGATTTGTTAATACGTCTCAGAGGTGTTTATGTCTGACTTATAAGGACGTTAATTTGGTTGTGTAGTTTTCTTCCAGCTCGGGGGTTGTTCATGTATGCTGACAGAATACACAGAAGAGGGCACCTCTACCCAGGACAGGTAGAGATGGTGATCAGGATCCATGATCCAGCCTAAGTCAATTTATTTATGACTTCTCTTACGACTATGGCAGGGACCATGCTAATAATAGTCCATCAACAAAGCAAGTACATCCTCGAAGAGAAGCTTTGCCAAGATCAACAGCAGAAAAATATTCCATGGATAAAATCAAGCAGCAATAATTGCCACTAGACTTGCCATAGCTTATACAGAAGTTCCTCAGTTGTTCCTGGTACCAGCTCCAAGACAGCATGTAAATAGTTTTCATCACAAGAACATGCTAGTGCAGCTTCAAAGAAGGAAGCTCTTATAGCTTCTTTTTGTACTTAATAAATATGAAAATACAGAAAAGACCAAGATGGCTGATGCAGGAACAACCAAGTGTGCCAGAATATTATACCTAGTCATTTCTACAGAGTAATTAGTTGTGACACATTTATTAGCATTGTTAACCAGAGGCTGCCCATAGTTAAAATCACGTATCTTGAGAGGACAAAGCTTTGCACGTTGCCAGCAACATATTGCTCATTGTGGAAACAAATAACAATTGAGTGCAAAAAGGGATGTTTTCGCTGTAGCCACTGATGTCTCAAACCATGAAAGTAATAACATGTTTTCAGTAATTACCCAATGCAGTTCATAATTATGCAACACATGCGGAGTGGTGGGAGTCTCCTCCAGAGCTCAGGAGAATTTCCAGCAAAGGCAATTCAATCTTTGAAAACCAGCAGGAGAGATGGAAAACACACACAACCCCTTCTCCATTGTGGTATTGGCCTGTTCTGTGCTGTGCTTTGACTTGAACACAAAATTTTGGGACTCCAGGAGTTATATAGCTGCAGGAATTACATAACACGTGGCTGTTCAAGTGAAGATAAATTTTTAAATGGTTATCACTCCCCGCCCCCCTCCAAAATCCAGCACATAACAGTCAAATTACTTTGTATAATGAAAGACAGTCAGAGTGCTTGTTCAAGAGCCATTGATCATCTCAATTGCTCATCTCCTGCTATCCTTGTGCTTAGAAGAGACAAACACTTTTCTTTTTCCCCAGGTTTGTGACACACAGATTTTTACCGAATCTCTTGTGCACGATGCCCAAATCAAAAGAAAATCCCATATTTGAGTAGTGGGAGGAGTGGAACAGGGATGACAGAGCATAAAGCCATCTTAACAATATATTTGCTCTTTGGTCATCTTGAAAAATTTATGTCTACCTCTTTACCCAGCCATATCTTACATTGGTATCTAAGCATTTTGCACAAAAAATTGAAGCAAAAGTTCCTTGTGTTCAATAAAAGTAAGCTGATTGCACTTACTGGGATTCTCACCACACATATGCTGGTGGGTCGCATCGGTGAGCCTCTTGCTTGGTCTGAGGACCCTTCCCCCTTCTCTGTCTGTCCCTCCACGTGAAGAAGTGGTTGAGATGGAGGCTGAGCTCCACAGCAAACTTCTCCTGGTTGCTCTCTTTTCATCTACTGGCATGTACGACACTCTTGGTTCGGCTCTTCCAAGGCTCAGTACCATTTGGATAGATGTTTTTCCTCCTGTTGCTGCTGTTGTTTCTCTGCTGGGCCAATGTTGATGTGAGAAGTCATCACTGTGGACCATCCGTCTTAGGGGCAGCTCTGAAAAACAGCAAGCGGAGGGTTTGTAACGTGGTCTTGAATTGTGTTTTGCAGTCACTGTGAAGCCAGTTCAAAGCATCATATTAAGGTAATGTGCTGGCAGTAAGCCGAGTTGGTGGCCAGCTGAACTGGTGCCCTTTTTGCTGGCTTTCTTGGGGTATTGGTCTTCATACCTGTGATGCAAAATGGATGGATTTTATTGATTGTAGAAGTCAATGAATATTGTAGGCTATTCTGCATAGGTTGAGAATTTTGCTTTTCATGGCTGCCAGTACTACTGTCCTTACTTCTCTATCACTTCACGCCAGTGCAAACTCTGTGGGGCAGAGCCTTTCTTCTGATATATAGTCTGTAAGGTGATGGAGTTCAGCTCCGCAATGAAGGCTTCGAGCACTATGGACTTGCACATTTTCTCTGTATTAAAGTTAACGCAGGCATTTCACAAAATGTTAGAAACTGCTTCTCTGAAGGGAAACGTGTAGGCTAATGAGAGTGCAGGAGCTGGTATGTCAGCTGCCCAACGGGATAGGTGACAAGATATGACAAAATAATTTTTAACATGCATCCATGGTAGTACTGAACAGGACGTGAGTTCTCTCATGAAGAGCCTGAAATATAACAAAATCTCTTTTTAACCAGTTTCAGCGGCTGAAGACTTAGCCACTGGTTTACACCATGCATGCCTGGCTAAAACCTTTTTAAACAGTCTTTCCTTCAGTATCACCTTGGAAGATTTCTCTATCCTGTTTGTTGTTTCAGCCTCGATCTACATTTTACAAGCTCAGACAAATAACTTTATGTATTTTCCCAAGGTTTCATCATTTTTCAGAGACCTTGTAAATGTCTCCACTTAGTTTACTGTGCTGTTTAAAACCTCTCTTCAAACCTCTCCTTTGTCCTGTTATCTCACCTTTTTTTTTTTTAATAACTTCTCATGGAATTTAGCTTTGAGAGTGATAGACAGTGAGATAGATAGAAATAGGACCAAATAATAAAGCTGTTGACTGCTTTCCTAGAACTTGCCCTAGTTTTATTTGTAAAAATTCTTAAGCTTCTCTCCCAGTGCCAACATTTATTAGAGAAGTAATTGGATTCAGGATGCATCTGTTAAAAGCATAATTGCAGCACTAACGATTTGATTAATTTTTTCATATATCTTTAGATTTTTTGGCCTTCTCAAATTGTTCTTCGTGAAAACTTTTTTTATTTTAATGTAGATTGCTAACTGTTGCAGTCTCACTACATCTAAAATAATAAGATCTTATGTCAGCAGCTGGACTCAGAATAGGTACGTGTATTTTTTTTTATTCCAGCAATGGTTTAGTCATTGGCATGCATTACCACTCCTGGTGCTCATCATGTGCAGGGAAACAGCTTTAGGGAACTGTTCATCAGCATTTAGAAAACATGAACTTCTTAAGCTTTTCTTTTTCTGGAGGGTGGTTTGCAAAAAGGTATGCATATTATTGTTTGAACTTAAAAATGAGATTCTGCGCATACCCTCTGGTTTAACATTATTTTATCAGTTTTCCTCTCCCTAGAAAATATTGCTATTATTATAGCGGATGTAGCACAAGGTGAGACAGCTGGTACATGCCTGTGTGTTTAGCAGTAATTGAAACTGCAAGGACTCTTAGCCACAGCACCAGAGCTCTGGAGATGCTCGTGGCACGAGTGGGAGTATTTTTCTGGACCAGGTCTTCAGTGCTCATGTGAGAAGAGAATCAAGGTTGATGACATCTAGGGGAAACTGCTTTTTTAGTGAGGCAGGTCCTCAAATGCTATAAACCAGTGTAGCTCTGATAGTGAGGAGCTTAAATATGAAATGTTGTTCACTTTCCCTTTAAATATAGAAGCTAAATAATAAACATAACTCAGAATTATTCCTGTTCTAGTCTATTACCTATTTTTATGTTTCTATAAAGAACTATTTTTTAATACAGTCATTAATTTTGTTATTGTGGAACAAGGTGTACATGTACAATAAATCCCATGCAATGGGCGGGGGGAATCAATGAATAAACAAAAGAACAAAATCAGCTTGTAGAAAGCTGTACAATCTTCTGAATTTTGGGTGAAAATATTTTTTTCTTCTTTCTGTTATTTGTGCTTCCATATTTTATTAGCTACAAAAGAAGTTCAAGCTTGATTATACAAAATTACTTATGTCCTTTCACTTAATCATTTAAACATTACAGAGTAGCTATTAGTATTAAATATTTTAAGCTCAATGTAGTTAATTAGCACAAAGCATTTCAAGTGCTCTCTGGGAAGAGAGTGTTGTCTGTCCAGATTGGGGAAAGGGAGAGTTTATGAGACCCAGGGCTACTGTGCTACTGCAGCTGGGAAGGTGGGTGACAGGGTACGTGGTTGTATGTTATTTTGTTGCTTTAAGCTTGGGATTAATTTTTTTTCTGGAGAGCTGTGGCTCTTTATATCACCTTTCATAGCTGTGCAGATCTAGTCTGCCTTAGGGCAGCAATTTTCTGTGCTTCAGAGAAATCTTGGATAACTTAAATGAGATGATAAATAAATACATTGGTTAGCCAGCTGAGATAAAGTGTAGGTCTGTTGCACAATGTCTAGCTCCCAGTATTTATAAAAATAAAGCAGAACCACTTCGAATCGCTTTAGGTTCCCTAGGGAAAGAAGAGGAATCTTTTTGGGAAAGGCAAATGCTTCAAGAGAAAATGTCCTTTTCTTACAGTTACCTAGATCATAATTGACAGTGGTGACTATAAGTAATAATTCCAGGTGTTTACTTTTAAGAGTTCTGCACATCAAGTACTCTGATAAAAATGTGACAACAATCATTAAGATTGTGTTTCTTGTCAGAATTTGGGGAATTTGGGATGCAGTTTTCAAAACAGTTGAACCCCTAGTCCTGCTGTATTTCAGTGCAAATGTATTAATATAAAAGCTGGATATCCAGCAAGAGACCAGACAGATGTTTAAATGCTTAAAAAGCCCAACTGCCAAACAGCAGGAAAATAGGTTGGGCATGCAGTGATATTAATCATCTCTACAGGTATCCAGGAGAGAAAATAGAAGTATTCAAGTGGGCTATTAGGCGTGATGGCTGTGCATCTGCCACGTAAGTGTGCCCCTTGGAGAACAGGGTAGGCACGCAGAACTCCAGCTGGCTTCAAGCTTTGAAGACTTGGCAGCTTGTCCCCACACCCCACCCAGCAGATATTTGTCTGTGTGTTTAGCAATCTTCAGCTGGTTCCCTTCCACGAACCTGTCCATCTTTTTCTTGAGCCTACGTGCAGTTTTTAATGTGAAAAAAATCATGTGGCATGGGGCTTGCTAGACTAGCTATGGGTTTTATAAAGAACCATGTCTTTATTTGTTCTGAACCTGCCAGCTGCTAGCTTAACTTGATGTCCTTAATTCTTATACTGAAGAGATTGTGCACAAACAGCCCCTATTCTCCATCCTTGTGGAATTCCAGATTTTGCATCTTTTCACTGTATCTCCCCTGAGAATCTCTATTCCAGGCTGAAAAATCCTAGCCCACTTAGCTGTTTCTTCTAAAGAAGCCTTTCCATGCCTTGGCTGGTCCTTTTTTCCCTTCTTTTTGACCTTTTGCACTTCTACTAATAACAGGGAAGTGCAGAAAGATGCGGACACTTCTCTGAGATTAACATCTCAAATAATGCAACTTTTTTCTGGAAAATCTTACTCCTTTTGCTCGTGTTTGGAGGCTCCTGCTACATTTAACACTGGCAGGTACTTGTCAGCCTTATGTGTGCCCCTCCCTGCAATACTCTTGTAGGCTAGTAACTCATTCCAAGGCAGAATATTCATTTATCTTCATATTAGCTATCATGGTCATGTTGTCTGATTTCAGGGGCTTTACAGCTACTTCTCAGCAAGCCGTTTTTATGGATGACTGTTCATTACGTTCTGCATAGAGATATCACTGTAGGACACTTTGTAATCCTGTATTTCCAAAAATAGAACGGAACCATTTCAAACAGTGTTGGGACTTGGGGGTGTGTGTGAAAATCTTTGGAAAAGCAGAAGGCCTTTTTACAAATGCAAAGTATTTTTAGCACTGTTCTGCTAAGGTGTGGGTAGGAGGTACATGTATAGGGTGTAGTCTTCTCAGCTCCTAAAAACTACTGGCTCCAGGTCAGTTTAACCTTCTAAACTGTATTTTCATTAAAGAAAGTGAAGGATTGCAAGTACTTTTCATGTAATTTGTGAAAGAGCTGTTTATTTGTAAAGTTTTGGAAAAGGTGTGTTGATTTTGTATTTACTCTATCTTTTCTCACCACATTCAGCCCTTTTCTTTTCAGTTCTGCTACTGAAAAAAACCCCAAAGTGAAAAGGGAGCAGGGAAAACCTGACATCACAACATCTTTTTTTCTTTTTTTGGGTGATGAAAAAACGAATGTGAATTTTTAAAAACAGCCTGTTTTTCAGTGAGGCGTTCTGATGAGCTGTTGTTTATCTTTAGTACAGAACTTAAAATAATTGCAATCAGCCTTTGAAGGTGCAGGCTGACCAGGCATGGGGATCTAGGGAAGCAGGGAGGGTTGAAGGACATGCCTTAGGGGAAACACTTGAGCTGTCTCTAATTCTGCCCCTTTCTGGATGGCTGTCTAATGTGGGAAGGAACAGCAGTATATTTTCCAGTGCTCTCTTCATGTGGTTCTCAGCAATTGCTCCCACTATTCTTCTTGATAGGGCTCACAGGGAGCCTGAGAAATGATTGAGCAGTGAGTTGCTCTAGGGCAGCGCCGAGGAGCTGTCGTAGGGGAGATGCCGGCTTTTAGCCAGGCAGCGCTCGGTCTGCTGACAGCCAGTCCCTTTCACAGCCCCTCCGTTGCTTATTTTGAAGTGTTAGGCAGGGCACTCACGGTTGAATTGTACAGTTTGCGCTTCTAAAACGAGATTATCTTTTCCTCCTCTGCATCTTTATGGCCTTTATGACTTGCTTTTAAACCAAAGGCCAGGTTAATGCGAGCTTCTGGCACTGGAACCACTACTTTTGGGGAGTTTTGTTCAAAATTATTTTATTGGGAGCACTGATTCTTCACAGTGGAAACTTTTTACGGAAATGTGTTACTTTTGGCTAAACTGTTGTTGGGAAAAGGTATCCCTGATCTAGGATGATAAGGTTTTTAAGTATGTCTACATTAATGTATGTATTTTCATGCACCAGGAAAGCAAAGGGAGGATGTCCTTAGTTTCTAGAATCTCCTACTGAACTTAAATATGTCAATTTTGAAGGGAACTGGAGCTATGAGAAGTAGACATCTGATGATATTCCGTCAGAAACTCCTATTTCCTAGACTGCTACGTTTCAGTTGCTTTATTCACTATATTTCCTTTTACAGGGTATAGTGTGAATAAATCACCAGAGGCCTTAATCTTGTCAGTGGTGGCGTTTGGGGATGTGAGAACCAATGGTGCATCTGGACCGCTGCTGACCGGGAATCTCAGTGCAAAACCCTTCTAGTACCAACGTGTAGTAATTCCAGTGGCAGCTTGTAATGACACTCTTCTACACTATCCACTCATTTTAAAAAGCTCCACAAGCTGAGTATTTAGCAAGGACTCATCGCTGAGGGCCTCTCTGGAAAGGAGAGTGTTGTTTTCTGAAAAGAGCAAATAATAGTGGTGTTTCAACAGTAAAACCTGTGGTTCTCTGCTATATCTAGTTAGAAGAAGAAACAGAAGTTCATGGTGCAGGCTCACTGCCAGGCAGTTCTGACCTTGTTCTTCGAGCTCATGGTATGTTTAACACTTCCTTTGCTAAACGATTTAGTAGACTATGCAGATAAGTAGGCAGGTGCTGGACCTCTAGAACACATCTTTTACACAACACTTTTGTTTTTCTGTGCGATCTGGGTAACGAGCCAGTTCCCACACTTATTAAATGAGTGACTACTCGCCAGGCACAAGAAAAATACCGACTCCCTTTCCTAAGAGAGGTTATGCTATGTGAGGTTGACTGCTGTTCACACTTTCTAACCTGAAAGATATAAACCCTGTTTGCCAGACTGTAAACCCCAGTGGTAAACAAACATGAAGGATGAAGTTAGAGAGCTGGAATCACCTTGAATAATGGTGTTCTGTAGAAATCACAATCGGCATTGCTCTTATGATAATAGAGTTCCAAGCAGGGGTTGGGCTATAATGAAGTTTTGTGCTGTAGACCAGGGAATCTGATGTAATCAGATTGATGGAACAAAATCAGATGTTCAAGGGAGAGGCAATTAATCCTTCATTTAAGGACACTCAAATCAGCAAGACATCTAGTGTTAAGGATATAAATGAGTCTTTAATGTGGGCTTCATGATAGGTAACTCCTGCAGAGGCATCTATCGGCTCTATAAAATGGTAATTTGCAAGTCCCCAAGGAGTTAGAGACAACAGCTGATAATTTCTCAAGCTTTTGCTGCTAGTATTCACAGCAGGGTTAGCCTCTTGTTCAAGGAGTAGGCCCAGTGGTATCACACTAATTTTCTTCTGTTCTGAAGAAGAAAAAAGGTTGTTTTGGAGAAGGTAAAAGGTTGGCTCTAAGAAAGGTTATGTTGAAAAACTCATCGTAGTAGTGTCCTATGTGTAACCCAGTAGGCTACCTTCAGTGCGTGGGCTTGGGGCTTCGGCAGGAGATTCAAAACAAGCCACGTGGTGATCTGGGAGCTGTTTGGGAAATGGTAACTGTAAGGGGGTGGTTTAAATCCTACTCTTCATTCAAGCTTCCCTATTGCACGCGGGGCTTCAGGAGAGCATTTCTCTAGACAACAAGACCAAGTGTCTCTTCTGAGAGTAGGCATCTGGCCCATACAACTAGTAAAACAGAACTAGAAAAAAGCTGGCATCTCTTTTAAAACATTTCTTATTACACATATCCAGGAAGCACGTCTCCTGGGGGAACACCCTCATCACTGTGATTTTGGCTAGATGGAATACTTGGGTGCATGTCCTCGTAGGTCGCACTCCAAGCTGAGACTATTTTGTTCTGATTTTTTTATCATTGAAAGAATCCAAGATTCAACGGATCAGAGAGAACACATGTGAGAGTGGTCCTGTAAGTAGGAAGGTTGGCAGCATTTACATGAGATGGTCCTGAACCAAAAAGTCTCTTTCTGGCTTTTGCCTTGTGACTGCTAAATAAAACATCCCTGTGTCAGATGCCAGAACTTAGGTGTGCCTCTCTAGCATGCAAAGTGCCCTAACTTCTCAGATATGACACCTGATCTCGGAGAGTTTCCTCCTTCAGAACCGTGGAGGTCTGCAGTCTGGACACCCTTGTCCCAGGCAAGTTTGCAGTGCCTGGCTCTTGCGTACTCCACTTGGAGGTCAAGCACAGGCTTCTGCCCTCCGTGAGGTCTGGGAGTCAAGCTGAGGGGCTTGGCTGAGATTTTGTGAAAGCAAATTGGGCATCTTCACCTGGAATCACACTTATGAATCCTGCCTTGAGGGACAGCAATGCCGTCTGCATCGTTAAGGCAAGGTTGTTACTAGCAAGCGTGTGGGCCAGGGCTGGACTCGATCTCCGATCCGCATCAGATTTCTGTTCCAGGGTAATATCGGGTACTTAATGTACCCACCATAAGGTAGCAGGTAGGCAGGAGCGCACGGCCTTTACATGAGCAGCTGAAGATGCATAATCTTGTTTTGGGAAGGTCTTGCAGTCTGCACCTCCCCCGTCTTCAGCAAGAGGTATCTTCTGATGTCTGTTCGTGCACAATTTACCAGTCTTTTCTGAGAACTTGCTTCCAGACAAATTCCATAATTCAGTCCCAGGTGCCAATCTTTTCCTTCCTCCCTGCTTCCCCGCAGCAGTTGCACTGACCAGAGAGGTTGCTCTGTCACATTTGCCTCGGGCAGCAGATATCCACTTGGTCTGTAATAATCTGCAGGCAAGCAGAGGGCTAACCCAGGCTCCAGAGCAGCATTTGAAGTGTGGGAAGTAATAGGAATTTCTTTCCTCCATCTTCATCTGTCCATTGGGAAACTCATAAAGGGACTCTGGAAATTGATTGCTAAAAACCTAGTTTCGATAGAAAGTATAAGTTATTCTGTGGTGCTGATTAGCATGAAAAGGGCTTTATTAATGTTTTTCAAGCACTGTACATCCAGTGGTAAATTAAACCTTGAAGGTCATTAGTCATAGTGCTAAGACTCTAATTGAACCTATCCATTTCCCAGCAAACGATGTTGACAGCCATCTTCCTTCTCCTCTATCTGACTCTTTGACTCTTCCCAAGAGGGAAGGTGCACGTTGCTGTGTATGCACGTGGCCTCGAGGATGCGGGCGGTTACATCTTCGAGGAGTCCCACTAGATGTGCAAACCTGAGCACGTGAATGAACGTTTCCAGAAATGAGGCTTCTGTGAGATCCTGCGACAGGTCGATGCAGGTTTCGGAAAGTAGGATCAAGATGAATTGCACTGATTCTGTCTCGCTTTGAAAGGTATTACGGAGAAGGCAATTAACGCAATTTATTGCATCTCGCTTGGACCAAATTCTTCCTCAGAAAATGGTTATTAAGCCAACTATGGAGACATGGATTTTGTAATGAATTTTACTTTTTTCTCTTTAAGTTGAATATACTAACTAAAGATTGTTACTATTTCCCCCCTTAATAATGAACAGAGATAAAGCTTTAAAATATTTGTAGATGTAGCTGGAAAAATCCCCAAACCCTTCACTTTCTTATTTACCTTGCTTACATCTAGAAAGTTATCCTCTCATTATTGTAAAAGAAATGTCTCTTCTAATGCTGTCTTTGCTATTAGTTAGCTTTGCAAAAGCTGTCTCTGCTATTAGAACATTTGAACTAATGCATAAGCCCATAAGCCTAGTGATCATCTATCCTTGATCAAATTCTCTCATAACTTTAATGCTTAAGCAGTAGCCTAAACAGTAAGGATACAATTTTTATCAGGTATTAAATGTGAGTGAAGATACATTTTTGGTGTAGTTTTGCCTCCATTCTGTCTTAAGAAACAGATTTAACACTTGTTAAACCAAACCCAATAATAGTTGATAGGAGATGACTGAAAATAGTATTTGTTTTTCTTGATTGTTTTTAAAAAAATGAAAAAAAAGAAAAATAGTTTGCTGAAAAATTTTGCCCTCATTTTCTTTTTGAGAAATTAGTATTTTGTGTCCACTTATTTGCCAAAAATCTTGAAAGAAACTATTTTTGAAAGGTGTTTCAAAGATTGATGCCCTTTTTGCCTCATCATTACACATTTTTAACTTTACTAATACGAATATCTTCATGGAAATCCAGATAGGAGAAGTATTTTGTGAGGAAGTACTTACAAGATTGAGTGGATATATAGCTCTTATGGTGAACTCTGAAAAATGCTGCAGATAAAGAACAGATAGTAATGTCTTTGTAAAAGCTTTTTTTTCAGACTTTCATGAATGATAATGGAAATACAGTGAATTATCATGGAAAAAACCTGTGATTTTCATAAATAATCACTTAAATCTCTGAAAAAGTATTAATAATCTTAGTTGTAAACCTATTATTTCCAAGCTTACCAAAAAATCTACACTAAGCCTGTGGTTCAACTGTGCAAATAGAAGGGATGGTCTGTTGATTGCTTAAACAGAAGAGAACTGCTGATAAAGGGAGTCAGGACTGCATTCAGTATACTCACAGATGCTTTGAGACAGCTCTTTAAAAAAAAAATAATTGCCTGAAAAACATGGTCTCCTGTAATAGGTTTCACTATTGAATGGTGTGTGAGTTGTTTTTTTCTTTTGTGGAAGGTCCTCTATTTTTCTTCTGTCTTAGTTTTACTGAGATTGGAATCTGTCATGTCCTTACCAACTTAACCAACCATTATAAAGCTTGTTTAACTAAAGAAAAAAAGTCAATACTTGCTCTCAGTCATACATTTATAAAAACTCAAATCCATTACCCTCGCTTATTTCTTTTCATCCTCCTGAACTCTGGGCCAATGTTGCTGCCGTGAGTTTCCAAGCCCTTCTGCTGTTGGAGTGCAGAGTGGAGCATGAAACACCGGTGGGCAACTAGTTCCCTGGGCAATGGGAGCCCCACGTACAGCTCCCTGCCGCTTTGAAGACTGAACCGCTGTCGGTTGGACCAATCTGTTGGCTGGTGGGTGGTGAGCCCGTTTTAATGCCTCCAAGGCTTTCTGTGTCCAGGGAAAATAGCATTTGGCGAGACCCACCCAAGCATATGCTTTTTGTTGTCTCTGAAGCAGGCTGTGCAAATTAAAGATTTCTTTTGCCCTTTCTCTGTGCCAAGCACCGTGGAGTGGCTAGTTATTAGTCAAGAAGTAGTAGATTATTTTATAAGCAGCCTCAATAGTAGTACCTTAAAAACAAAGAAAAAAGAAAAAAGTGAGTTTTAAATGAAGTGTTGCAAGTGTGTAGACTCAGGCGTACTTACAGTTCTGTGCCAGGAATTTCCAAGGAGCCCTGAAGGAGTTAGGGCACAACGTTATCCATAGAGGTGAGAAAGTGAGTCAAAGCAGTTCTGCACAGCATCCTCACACAATAAGACCAGCCTCATGCAATGATTTTACAAGCAGTCACTGCAGCATCTCCATCACCACGATCATTACTGAATGCAAAAGATTGATCTGCTATCCTAGAAATGAATGAATAGAGCATGTAAATATAAATGTTCACCCTGACCCTTTCTTCACACTGTAGTGCAATCACAAAGAAATAAAAGTGAAATCAGAAGAGGAACTTTGTCTACAGTGCACTACTAAATCAAGTCTTTGAGAGAAATT